TAAAACACCAAATATTAATGGTAGAATTAGCCATCTCTACTTTTTTCTCCTGTTTTATCTCAACTGTTGTTTTTTGGTTTCTTGTGGGGTTTTTTTATAGTGAATACATATGATAGGTTTCATAATCAGAAATAATTTCATTTTTAAATTTAAAATAAAATCAAGTTAAAACCCCTGTATCACTTCCAAAATTAAAAACAGTCTTCTTTCCAATGTGGTTTGTGGAATCAGTATAAATACTTAACAATTACATATTTGGTATACCTTACAGAAAAATAATAGGCAAGGAACAAAAAAAGAACAATCTTATTTTCAAGCTAATCATCATGTCTTAATACCAATTCTTTCCAATTAAGTCAGGATTCCTCAATACTTAATTTAAAAGTTAAGATATATACACTTATAATTTCTTCATATTTTGTCAGATTATCAATCTATTAACAATGCAGAGAACTAAATGAACTTTCACCTCTTCTGCAACTAAATTACAATGCTTTAGTTAATAAGTTAGATTTGAACCTTAGAGAAATAAAATCAGAAAATCTTACAATAGAATCATTCTGAACACTGTGTAAAGACTTAAGCAGGTACATAATAAATCTAAACCTAGACATATCCAAGATGCTGCTCTGCAAGAGCACCAAGACAATACTCCATCTTAAGGGGAAAAGTGTTTAGGAATATTAGCATAATTTTTTAAAAATATTGTTTAGTTGTCAATGGACCTTTATTTATACATGGTGCTGAGAATCGAACCCAGTGCCTCCCACATGCTAGGCAAGCCCTCTACCATAAGTCACAGCCACAGCCCCATACTAGCATAATTTTATGTGCTAACTTTGTTTATAAAGTTGTTCTAAATCAACAACTTAGAACTATGAGATATTTCATCATTAACAGAATAGATTTAATATAACTCAACCTTACAATTTTCTTCTGACTTCATTTGTTTTGTCATACTATTTTACAATCATTCCATCTGCACTGCCAAGGTACCATGCTTTCAAAGTTTTACCACACAAAAATAAGAAAAAAAAATTTTTTTGGAGGTATTAGGAATTAAACCCAGGGCTCCACACATGTAGGCAAGTACCCTACCACTGACCTATATCCCAGCTCCCCCACTTTTTTTTTTTTTGAGACAGGATCTCACTAAATAACCACAATGATGTCATTACTCTATGACACTGCCACCTGTCATTTAGACAACACAGTTCTAAAACTACATAAAAAGTGCTGAACTCCTTACCCCAAACACCTTCTATCACAGCTCCAACATAAGAAAATGGGTGAAATGTAGCAAATGTATGAGATATCCCAGATACCCCTAAAGTCTCTGCAACACTGACTGTTTCTATTAGCAGTTGCAAGTGCTGAAAGGTGTCTACAGAGCACAGAAGCCGAAACTGTTTCTGTTGCCCTATCAATGGCATTAGGAAATTCTGCACTTAACAACATATACCACATTTACTACTGCTTCACAACTCAACACTTCCAAGAAAATAAAATAGGATTCTAATATCATCCTCCTACATATTTAGATTGCTTTTCATACACACCATTCCATTCGATCTTCACTGACAACCTGCAAAACAAGCAGAGAGGTTGCTCTTTCTCCTTTTACTAATGTGGGAACTGGAGCTCAAAGGGGTTATGTGGCATTCCAGAAACAGAAGGCCTAGTAAGGAGCCCAACCTAGACTTGAACCCAAGGCATATTGATGAACCCACTGTCATGTTAAAACAGTTTTCATCTGAATATCTGATATAAATACGAACTTAAAAGGTATATTAAGTTTCTGGACACAGAACAAAAGTGAAGACGAAAGTATGATACCAGTATTAGTATCACAAAATTAAGATTAAAAATAGCAATGACAAGCTAATAACTTTGGTAGCCTCTAAAATTACCAAGAGTCCTAGTTCAATTCAATACAAATGTGATACCATACTTTGTCTTAAACTGATGTTTTACCAATTACAAATTTATATATAAATTCACCATAGAAAATACAGAACTGGGTGGTCTGTAAGAAACAACTCACCACATAAATTGCACAAACTTCTCCCAAACCATTCTTATGACTTCACACCAAATTATGAAGTTCCCTATTTGAAACCAATCTGATTTCAACACTAAATGAATTACAACAGCATAAGCATGTTGTCTCTAATACTTACAACATGCACTCAATTTCCAGAACACTTTTGGACAATGTATAAAATCTGCAGGTTAAAAGCAAAACTCAAGACAAATACAGTTTGTTTCTTTAAAATGAAAGATTACCTACATGAGATGAATACCAAACTAGAAATTATTAAAGATGTGCAGAATCAGGCTAGTCAATGAGTCTAGGCCCTTAATTGCATAGATGAGGAAACTGAAGCCCAAAGAAGTTAAGTGACATTCCCAACAGCAATTAATGACACAAACTGAATTAGAATTTAAATCTGACTGCCAATCCAGAGTTTCCTATGAGTTCACACTACTGCTGCATTTAATAAAATTGCTTTTTTTTAAAGTGACTGATACCTAAAAAACATAGAACACCCAAAGACTCAAAAACAGAAGACAAAAAGAAACTGAGGCGGAAGGATCACAAGTTCAAGGCCAGCTTGGGCAACTTAGCTAGACCCTATCTCAAAATAAAAAGGGCTGGGGACATAGCTCAGTGGTAGACTACAGAACACCAAAAGTTACAAACAACAAGGACTAAAAACAGGTTCTTTAATCCAATGCAAGATATCAAGTAGCTTTTAATAACTAATGCTATCAACCACCATAGCTATTTTTTCCCATACCAACACTATATATTTACTCAAAAAATATGTGAGGACATAAAATATGCCAAGAACTGCTAAGTACTAGGGACACCAAGGAACAAAACAGATACCATCTCTGACTCTGGAAGTGAACAACTAAGTGCATCTCTCTAAAAATATTTCTGACAGGAAATTTACCAAACTCTTCCACTACACAACTATAAGAACACTTCCACCTCTCTCAAACTTATAACAACCTCACCGCACCCCCTTTGAATACTTCCTTTAGTAACTTGGGATTCCACTTTACCACAGAAGATGTTAACCAGGACTTAAACAGATTTTAACTGACTTTACCACCCTTTACAGCCTGGGGCAAATTTCAAAAACTTCCTGAAGCACAGTAAACCTTCCTAATTCACAGTCCTGGTCTCCAATAACTGCTAACACACCCATTCCGCCCTTCACTTTACCAGAAACCTGAGTCAGATGGTTTAGAAGCAAACATGATGTTAGGATGGCAGAAAGCAATTTCAATACACGCTTCTATGAGCCAGAAGCAAACTTAGCTTCTTTGCTCTGGATTCTCTATCTCTGGATATGCCTCCAGTTAAGAAGCATGTAATTTAATTAAATGTATTCCTAATGACTTGTGAACCAATACTTCTTGGCAACAAACCTACTTTCCCTACATAAATCTACTGTATTTTAAGAGATGTTCAATTTGCAATTTCCAGTTTCTCATGCATTCTCTTCTTCCCAACCTCTCAAATTCTTAAAGAGATCTATACACAATTAAAAGGGCTCTCTCAGAAGTCAGTTAATTAATATGAATTCTTTAGAAAACCCAACCTAAGGCAGTTCACATACCTGGATGACCTGAATCATTCAGTGAGCTTTGTAATGATAGGTTCCCAAGCCCCATGCTCAGATTTTAATTCACCAGGTACTGCATAAGTCCCTGCAATCAGCATGTAAGACAGTCCACAATACTTCTAGGTAGCCACTGAACTAAAGAACCTGGCAGACAAGTTCTCCCATGGTTTGCCATTAAGTACAAGTGAGGCTACACCACCCTGGTTGCTGGTCATTCAAATTGCTCTGGGTCACTTGAAAGAAGCCTTCGCAGGCAACCAATTTATTCTGTCATTCTGTAAATTTCCTACCTATCCAAGTCATAGACCCTAGAAGGGAAGACTACCAACACAGCTTACTTAGTCTCCAAGCAAAAAGAACATGTCTTTTGCCCTATGGAAACGGCCCTGAATCTAAAAGGGAAAGGTGCCCCTCACTTCTCCATCACAAACATTTTACATTAAAAAAATAAAAATAAAAAATCTCCTGGAATTCAACCATAGCCTCTAAAGGAATCATTGTTCACGCTAGGAGAAACTAAACTGAACCTCAACTAGAATATGTGCACTTATGTCAGAAAACAAAGTGGATGTCAAACAGTAAGAATTTAGCCCTGAGTCAGTAGCCCACGTGCAAAACTCACAAGATTATCAAACTTCAGAGAACCCATTAAAGTGACCATAAAATCTACCCCATAATTTTAAGATAAGGTTTCCAGCCCAAAGTACAACCAACAATATCATCTTATGGGTCCTGAGATGCAAACATCCAGCACAATTTCTCCCCAAGAAATAACACTGTAATCTTTTGTGGAGCTGTCTGACCAGTGTTTCTGGAGCTCCTCAACCGCCCCCGAAGTATCCTTCCCACCCAAGTACTACCAGGTCAGGAGGATGCCCTGCTGCAGTCAGGGGGCCACTCCTCCTTCCCACAAGGCCCGGGCCCGCACTGCTCGCCTGGGGCTCCTAAGGCCCCCGACCTCCGGCCTCTCCACAGTCTCCACAAAGCCAGGGCAGGAGGAGGGGCGCACACCCACCTCCCGGGGTTCGGCCGGCATTTCACCAGGCCCCAATGGCAGCTCCCCACTCCARGAGCTCCACGAGCTCGTCCTCGCCTGGACCGGGAAGGCCGCCACGGCCCAGGACCCCGCCTCCCTCGAGCCTAGGGTCTGGGGCGAGCCCGGTCGCTGGGCTCCCACTCCCCGCGCCTCCCCCTGGCGGCGGCAGCCACCCAGACCGCCTCTCCCTGGGCCCTGCACACCATCCCCAGAACCCCGCAGGCCGACGCCTCCTCAGAGGGTGACAGCCCCAGCGCCACGGCCGAGGCCGGCCCCTCCTCCAGCTCCTTCTCACCACCCGAGAAGACCGGGGGTGGGCTTCTTACCAGGGAGCAAGACATGGCGAGGCGAGGCTCGGCACGGCACGGCCTCCTCCGCCACCCCCACGAGGCTCCCAGCCAGGGCTGGCGGGGGGGCAGCGCCTGGGCCGCAGGAGCGTCTAGTCCGGCTGCACCGCTGCCGCCGCCGCCTGCCACCGCCTTCTCACAACCACAACAACATGGCGGCAGCGGCCACACAGAGCGCGCTCCCGATGCTGAGCCGGGACGCGAGCAGGAGCGCGTGCGTAGGCTCTAGCGCTCGGTTGAGGAGTAAAGGGGCGGGCCACCACGGGTCGTACGGGGCGTGGCCTAGGCCTCTGACCCGCCCCTTGAAGTGAGCAGGGGCTGTAGACGCGCGTAATGCCGGCTACTTGGGAGACTCCTAGAGAAGCCCAGCCGAGAAAGAGTTAGACTGATGGGACAAGGGCAAAGGTAGAACGATGACAAATCAGAAGAAAATCAAATGTGGACCTACAGGTTTTTAGGAGGCATCTTTTCCTGACTCTATAGACCTAGGCAGTCCTTCTGCTCACTCTACAGAATAGTGGTATCTTTTACCTGCAGGCATAGTCAGGATAAAACTAATTTACTATAATGCTTGTAAATATGGTGTGGTTAGAATACAATCAAACTGCCTCAACCTCAGCTCCTGGTCAAAAGCACAGTAGAAAAGACGTGAGTTTTCAACAAAAGCAAATGCAAAAAAAAAAAAAAAACTGGAACTTACCCTGCAAAAGAATTACACATTCCAAAACTATATTACCTCATGTCCTAACAGATTCAACTCCTCTCAAATGCATTTTAACATTATGCCTTTGATTTTTTGGGGGGAGGGGGGAGGTGAGGGGGTGGGGATGACTAGAGAATAAGTCAAATGTATTTGTTGCATTATTTCCACAGTACTTTCTGAAATTATTTTTCAATGCTTATCGTCTTTTACCCTACTAGAATGTAAGAGCACTTGAAGATAAAGAACTTGTCTTGTTTATCACTATATCTCCAGCACCTAGAATTGTGCAAGACAAGTAGTAGGCAGTTGGATTTCACAACTAAAGGATAACATTTATTTATACAATTCATCTAATTGAATCTCCACAACTACTATAGGTAGATGCTGTTGTCTCTATTTTATGGATGAAAAAAGTGAAAACTAGAATAGGTTGTGTTTATTAAAACAAAATTCAAACCCAAACCCAATTAACAACAAAAACTGCCCTCACTCACTCAATTGTACCATCCACTACATGACATGGTCACCTAAAATAAAATTTCAAGTAAAAGCCAGGCATGGTAGTGCACACCTGTAATCCCAGTGGCTTGCAAGGCTGAGGCAGAAGGATCAGCAAAACCAGCCTCAGAGGCTTAGCAAGGCTCTGAGCAATTAAAAAAAAAAAGTGGGGGGGGGGTGGAGCTGGGGATGTGGCACAGTAGCTAAGTGCCCTGGGTTCAATCCCCAGTACAAATACAAAAGTAAGAAATTAACAATACCGTTCAAAATTAGGAAAAATGGTTTACTCTCAGAGAAACTGGTGACTTCCTCCTTTCTGATAACTAGTATTAATGTCCCCCAATTGTGTCTCTGTTTTCATCTTGGCTTCCAGACAGCCTAGAACTAAATTTGTGGTCCAATAGTGTCCTCTTGTTGGTCCTTAAAGTTATCTCCTGCTTGAATTGTGTGTGTGTGTGTGTGCTCTCACGCACCTGCGTGAGTTGTATGTGTGTTTTCCCCAGGATCACACCCTGAGCTTTTATTTATATGTTGCTGTTCTGCTTTTTCCTTTCTGTATAAGAATATAGCCTTTCTTTTTCTTTTTTATCTTTTTTTTAATGTTTTCAGATGTTGATGAACTTTTATTTTATTCATTTATTTATATGTGGTGCTGAGAATGAAATCCAGTGCCTTAGGCAAGCACTCTACCACAGAGCCATMACCCCAGCCCATCTTTCTTTTTCTTAATGGAAAAAGAAATAGTACATAGAATAGATGAATTACTTAAAAACAACAACAACAAAGTCTTTTCCCACATATTTATCCCATTTCTAAGTTTCCCCTCAGTCACCAAGTCCCCTGTAGGCGGAAATTCCCTGCCTAGCCCTTTGCTCACAGGCTTTAGGATAGACTTCCACAGGTAAGGAACCACTGATTAGAACAAAGGTAGCACCTGACATCAGGGCAGCCCATCCTTAGGCTAGCTAGCTCCCCAAGAGGTGACTCAGAACAAAGTGTTCAGCCAATAGGCAGTGAAAATCCACTCAGCCAATCTCAGAGCTCTCAGAAATCCACTTGAAGCAAAAGTGTTGGCATGTCACTTTCACCTCTGTTTAAAAAGACAGACTATAGCTGTACTTACCTTTTAATCTGGGCTAAGGAAATCTCAACTGAATCTTCAACCAGTTTTTAGAACATTTGGAGCAATCTCTCTGTACCCATGAAATCACAGTATTTGGCCTGCTATTTCCCACAAAAACTAGCATGGATTGAACCTTTCAATGTGCCCTGCACAAATGCAAGCACTTTCCATGTAAAAGTCTGGACTTAAACCTAAGCAATTTGACTGCAAATACAAGGCTTCATCCCCACTGTGGTCCACCTGCTCACCTTTAAAACAGACATTAGTAAATTTTCTCTAAGAAAGAGAAAACTGCTTGCATGGCCTTGAAAGCTCATTTCAGGGGAGTTATGGGTAAAACTCAGTGGTAGTATGCATACTCAGCACACACCAGGCCCTGGGTTCAATCGTCAACATTAGAAGAATGGGAGGAGGGAACYTCATTTCCCTTTTCATACACCTCAGTTTCCTCATCACCCTATGCAGTTGTTAGAACTATCTTGCTTACCTCAAAGAAGTATATACGGGTTCTTTGAGGTAACAAATTTAAAACATTTTGTACCCTATGAAAAAGCTAAACCAGCAGAGAGGATCTATTTGACTCTGGTTGAAGACAAAGCACTGTATACCATGAGTTAAGAAAAGAGGGGATGCTGGGTCCGGTGACACATGCCTGTAATCCCAGTTCAGGAGGCAGAGACAGGAGGACCTCAAGTTCAGCAATTTAGCAAGGCTCTAAGCAACTCAGTGAGACCCTGTCTCCAAATAAAATACAAAAAGGGCTGGGGATAAGGCTCAGTGGTTGAGTTCAATTCCTGATATCAAAAAAAGAAAAGGTGGAGGGTGAACCCACCCATGTTCAGTGAGGGCATCTTCTCATTGCCTCATTCTCATGTGAAGGGCTCTGTTACCCATCTGACCTTCCTCTCCTCCTATTAATATCCTTTCAGCCTCACCTCCCCCCTACTCCACTCCCACCCCTGGCCACTGTATTCAAAGCTGAAAAACRTTCTTCCAGCTACTCCAGGAATATTTGAAGTAGTCTTAGATGGAAAGATGATTGATGGAGAACAGAGTCATGCAATGCCACTGGAAGGCAGAGGTCCCTCAGCCCCCCAAAATGCATATGTCCCAACCTTAGCTCCTTCTGCTTAATGCTAAAAGTGAGCACTTCGTATGGCTTATCCCCAGACTCCTTCAATGCTGCAACATATCCTGCACCTCCGACTCAGCTAGTAAACAGGGGTAACTATGGCTTTCAGATATGAAAGAACAACTTGTTTGGGGAAGACAGAAAYGAGAATTAAATAATATCTCTGTGATTCAAAATAACATTACCCGTCTACTGCTAGGGTGGGTCAGTGCAGCTCCAATTCAGTGTTACAGGAGTGATTCTGTAGACCACATGTCCTTAAGGATCCCTGAAACCCTTTCAGGGGTCTACATGGATCAAAACTGTCTTCATAATAATACTAATAAATTATTTGCCTTTTTACCATGTTGACATTTGTAGTAACGATGCAAAAGCAGTGGTGGTAAAATTTCTGGAAGGTTATCACAAATCAAAGTGATGGTACAATATGTACTAGTAGCCATTGTATTCTTCACCAGCATGCATATAGTAAACAGAATGTCAGTTTCACTTAAGAATGTACCTTATAAAGTAGTTAAAAAATACATAATTTTATTAATTCTAGACCTTTGAATACAAGTCTTTTTACTATTGTGCGGAATGAAATGAAAATTACATACAAAGCATTTTGGTCAATTTCTTTATTGAGTTGAAATTCACATAACAGAAAATTAACCATTTTAAGGCAAATAAATCATTGGCATTTAATACAGTCACAGTATTATGCAAGCAACACCTCTATCCCATTCCGAAACATTTTCAACACTTCAAAATAAAAAACTATGCTCCATTAAGCAATTATATTCTATGCATAAAGCACTTTTGCTGTGTGCAGAAGTAGATAGTTGTCTCAAGAAGAAACACTTGTGCAACTGTTTGAGCTAGAGTTCCTTCAGGGAACTCTATTTTTACTTGAAAGAATGGTCAATATGTAAACTATAATTATTCAAGCCAGGTGCAGTGGCACATACCTATAATCCCAGCAAGTCAGGTGGCTGAAGCAGGAGGACTGCAAGTTCAAGGTTAGCCTTTTATTGTGAGCAAAAGTGTCTCACAATAAAAAAGGCTTGGGATATGACTCAGTGAGAGAGTCAATGCCCAGTAGAGGGAAAACAACAGTTATTCAGGTTGGGTATTTGACAGATAATTTCTCAAAAATGAGAAAAGGAAGTAAGTTTGTCACTTCAAAATTCAAGTTTAATTTTAGTTTTGGAAAAACTGAATGTCCTACCATGACTCTCACTGATTTATAAAGTCTAGATGAGTAGTGATATTAGCAAAAATAAATTTTTGATATCAAATAATGATATGTGCCAACATTCAGAAGGGCTAAATAACCCAGTGAACAAATATTTTCCACATGACCAAGTCATGATGTTATCAAACCCTGCATGAATAAAAGATCCATTCCAAATGTAAGAYAGGCCAATAAATTTTTAGTGCAACTGAGTACTAAAAATTGATTGATAGGATTTATCCAACTGAAATAAAAAAATCTGTCAAATATTGGTATAATATCACGAAAGAATATTCACGATTACCTGATTTGTATGAGACTTGATTTTTTTTTTTCTTTTTTCTTTCTTTTTGGTACTGGGAATTAACTCAGGAACAATTTACCACTGAGCTACATCCCCAGCCTTTTTATTTTCTATTTTGAGACAGGGTCTCACTAAATTCCTTCAGGCCTCCCTAAATTGCTGAGAATGGCCTTGAATTTGCAATCCTCCTGCCTCAGCCTCCTGAATTGCTGGGATTACAGGG